AGCCTATGAATGTCTTTATGGGTTAAATGTGTTTCTTGTATACAGCATATTGTTGGATTTTGTTTCCTAATCCACTGTGCCAGTCTATTTCTCTTAATTGGTGAATTGAGCCCATTTACATTAATGGTTAGAATTGAGATGTATTGACTTACTATTGACATGTTATTTACCTGTTGTCGTTTACACCTTTTTCTCCTGTTTTTAATTGCTTGCCCTATTTAGTTTTTGCTTTTGATCTCATTCATGTAGTTCTGATCATTTTGGCTCTCTCTACAACACCTTTCAGTAGCCTGTGTAGGTTTGGCTTTGTCATCATGAAACTCTTTAGCTGTTCTTTGTCATGGAAATATTTCACTTCTCCATCAAACTTGAAAGAGAGTTTTGCATGGTATAGTAATCTCAGCTGGAATTTGTTTTAATAGAGGATTTGAAGTACTCTGCTCCATGCTCTTCTTGCCTGCATGGTTTATGAAGAGACGTCGGCTGTAATTCTGATGGATTTCCTTTGAATGTGATCTTCTTCTTTTCTCTAGTGACTTTCAGTATATTATTTTAGTGCTGAATTTCTGGGATCATGACTATTATGTGTCTCGGTGTGTTTTTAATTGAGTTGAGATTCCTCAGCATTCTGTATGCTTCAGTTACCTGAATATGAGATTTTTTTCCTCATATTTGGGAAATTTTCTGCTATTACTTCTGCCCATATTTTTTTAATGTCATTTATTTTGTCTCCTTCTTTCTCCTTGATGCCTATTAATCTCACATTGTTCATCTTTGCATTGTCTTGAAGGTATGGATTATTTTTCCCTGCATCCTCGTTGTTTTTGAGAGATCCTTTCTTACCTTTTCACTAGCTGCATGAGCATCTTCAAGATTTGAAACTCTGTCTTCACTTTCACTTAAATGGTTTTGCAAGCTTGGACTGAGATTTGACATTCCTCTATATCTCTTTGACTCTGCTTCATGCGATCTATTTCTTTCCTGTATTGCTCATTCAAGGAATCTGTCTTTTTTCTATTCTCTTCTATTTTTTGTCAATATCTTCTTTAGAAGCAGTTATTAGTTCTTTCACTGCAGTGTTTTTATCAGATTGTGTTTCCTCCCTATATTTCTATAATTTATTCTTTACTTAAGTTATTTTTACTTAATGCTATGAGTTCCAAGAGTTCTTTTCTTATTTCAGAAAATTCCGCTCTGAGTTCCTCTATAACTTTCTGCTGTTGCTTATTTATAATTAAAGCTGTTAATTCATACATTTCAGCTGAGCTTGTGTCCTCTGTACTTGTTCTGATTTGACATTGGGTTTCCTCCATGTTTCTGTGTTTGATTCTTTACTGCAGATGTTATTAATTCAGGGATTTCTTTTATTCATTTCCAATCTGAGTTCCTCTATACCTTTCTGCAGCTGTTTCTTTATTTCAACAACTTCTTTTTTTTTTTTTTTAACTCAGACCCTTGTTTTTGCCAGGCAAGCACTTCTTCTACTGAGCTATCTCCCTGGCCCCTTTGTTTCTTTATTTCAGAAGATATTGATTCATTGATTTCAGCTTTGTGATCCTCTATTTGTTCTGTGTTAGTGTCCTCTGCACTTGTTATGGTTGGATTTGGGTTCTGAAATTGCATTTTGCTCCTTCTCATTGTCATTTGTGTATCACTGTCTTCTGACCTTTGTTGTAGAGCTTTGGTGCAGTTATAACCTTAGCACCTACTGAAGTTCAGGTGAAGATCTACAAAGTTTGGATTTATCCAGTTGTGCCTGGCTTGCATCTGGCTGCTGTGCTCAGCTTATTCCTGCTGCTGCCCTTGGGAGTGAACCTGTTGTGCCCCTCTGGCAAGATTTTCTGCTCCTGGACTAGCTGGGTGGTTCTGTCCCCTCACACTCTTCAGGGATTGCAGCTGCAGGGTTTCACCTCAGGCCTGTATGCCAGGCCTGAGCTGAGTCTGGATGGTACAAGGTGGAGTAAGGGGGAGAGGCAGTTCTCCCACACACTCACTGGGCCTGAGCTACAATTGGATCTGGGGGTTCCCAGAAAGCAGCAGAAATTGATACTCGGTGGGTGGGGTGGGGGTGCTATGGATTGGTGGGGGGCATCCCAAGGGGGTGGAAGAGGGTCTCACTCATGCTGCGCCTGGGCTGGTACCAGTAGGTCCCCCTGGCTCAGGGTAGCTGGAAGCTCTCCCACACACTCACTGGGCTTGGGCTAGGACTGTATCTGGGCATTCCCGGAAAAAGGCAGAAACTCCTACTCAGTGGGTGGGTGAGGGAGGTGCTGTGGTGTGGTGGAGGGCATACCAATGGGGTGGAAGAGAGTCTCACCCACGCTGTGCCTGGGCTGGGACCGGCAGGTCCCACCAGCGCATGGTAGCTGGAAGCTCTTCCACACACTCACGAGGCCTGGGCTAGGACTGGATCAGTATATGCTATTATTTTAGCTCGTAATATCAAAGAATATTACAAAGCCCAATTGTGCATAATCTTCTACACAATTTAAATTTTTTTCCAGATATATGGAAATTGGTGAGGTCTTCCAGAGCCAATGGTATGTTCCCCACCTTTTAAGAAAGAGTTAATTTCCTGGTTGTTTACCTTGCTTTTAATATTATCTTAATTCAGTTTGCTGTACAAAAATATACTGCAAACTGGGTGTTGAATATGATACTCATTTACTTCTAACAATTATGGTTGAAAAAGCAAACAAAGCATTTGATTCCTAGTTCTATGGTGACAATTCTCAGTGTGTTCTCACATAGCGTAACAATGAAGTGGTTGTCTTGAACTCATTTGAGAGCAATAATCTTATACATAAAAAATCCACCTTCAAGGCTTCATCTGGTCCTAAATATTCACTACAAATAAAACCTCTAATGCTGTCATACTTATGCATAGGTTCTTGGAAAACGAATATAGGAGATAGATATAAGCATTTAATTCATAAATGGTATTGCACTATTTTGCAAGAAATCACTGAGTCTCTTCCATAAGGACCTATGCTCTTTTCAGGCATATGCTCGACAGATACCAGAATTTTCTAGCCTTCATTTTTGCCATAGAGGAGATCAACAAGAATCCTCATCTTTTACCCAATATATCTCTGGGATATGAGTTTCACAATTTCCTTTATCATCATTGGAAAACACTGGAGAGTTCCCTCATTTTGCTCGCAGGACAGAATGAAATCCTTAATTACAGCTGCAGGAGAAAGAGCAAGCCTGTAGCAGTGCTCACAGAAACATCATGGACAGCTTCTTCTCAAATCAGCACACTGCTGGAGCTCTACAGATTCCCACAGGTGACAGTAGTTGAGTTGGGAAAACAAGAAAATATCTCTTTGTTGATGACATTCTTAGTCACTTAAAGGATGGAATGAGACTGGTTTTCTACCTCTTTAAGTAATGTATAACCTCAAATATATGAAAAGACTTGGTAATTTACGCACAATTGATCAGCAGCAAGGGTGGGGGAAAATATTTCCAAGAAATTTTTGTCTTGAAATTATTTTCAAAAAAAAAGCATTTAGATATTAAATAATTGGAAACAATAAAAAATAAAGTTAACTTTTTTTACCTCTTCTAGCTGTTTATCCTTCCCCGCCTTAGACTGTGCTGTCAACACATTTCCTTATATCCCTTCAAATTTTCTTTTCCTCTAGGTTACCTTTGGCTCCTTTGATCCTACATTGAGATACAGTGGCCAGTTTCCATCTCTCTACCAAGTGGCCCCAAAGGACACATCTCTGGCCATTGGCATGGTCTCTTTGATGCTTCATTTCAGCTGGACATGGGTGGGAATGATTATCACAGAAGGGCATAGAGGTTTTCAGTTTCTCTCAGATGTCAGAGCAGAAATGGAAAAGAATGGAGTCTGTGTAGCATTTGTGAAAATGATCTCAAGTGAGTTTGCATCTTATTTATTCAACCCACAGGAATATGATATCGTATCAAGGGAAACATCACCAGTAAATGTGATTATCATTTATTTTGATACTGAGAGTCTCAACAACGTAAACTATTTTATAGGGCAAAATTTATTGACCTGGAAAATCTGGGTGACAAACTCACAATGGCATGCTGATGTGAGTGGAAAAAAATTCATTCTTGACTCATTTCATGGGACTCTCATTTTCTCAAACCACCATGGGGAGATTTCTGCTTTCAAACCCTTTGTCCAAGAAGCTACCCCCTTCAAATACCCAGAAGACATTTACCTCACTATGTGTTGGTTCAACAATTTCCATTGCTCATTCTCTGATTCTGACTGTGCGCTGAAGAACTGTACTCCAAACGCCTCCCTGGCATCACTGCCTGTGAATCATTTTGACCCAGAGATGAGTGATGAGAGCTACAACACATACAATGCTGTGTATGCTGTCGCCCATGCCCTCCAGGAGATGCTTTTACAACAAACACAAAGATTGATAATAAGACAAAAAGAATTTTCTGCATTTTCCCCCTGGCAGGTAATGTGTCTTTTGATATTGTGTGGTGTTATGGTGTCCTTCTCTGTTACACATGTTTTTCACTGGAGAAGTTTAGAACACTTGATCCAAAAGTAAAGCACATTATTAACATGCTCATGGTTAAGGAGATACATATCTTGATCTGTGCATACATTTTTATTTTTCAGGAGCCCCTAGGTAAGAGGAAGCTGACATGGGAAAAGATCAATGATTTTCTTCAGGATGTCAGTGTTTTGCTTAGTTGATATATCTATTGTACAAATCTGAACATTTTTCATGGAGTTCTTAAATAACAAAAATAGGTAGTCCTTCTTGACTAAGCACTATATGAGATATACGAATTCTTTCATTGAATTCTGCAACTTGTTTTGGTAGTAGTAGCCTTGTGTTGAATGTAAACACTGTGGGAACAATGACAGATAATGAATACAGTATTGGAAGATTTGATTCTACAGTTGGTTTTTATAACACCTATGAGCATTCTTTACTTTAATGAGCTTGAGTGACAAGAATTCTCCTGATATTTTCATTCCGCCTCTTAAATCAGTGTTAAATTTCTATAATGAAAGCAAATGAAGGTCAAGCACGAGCATTCCTCAATCCCCTTTCATCTTAGAATGTGTTTTCAGCTGCACCCCTTTCTGAGGAATATCCAATTTAACAATCCTGCTGGAGAGCAAGTTAATTTGGATGATGTAAAGAAACTGGACGTGGAGTACGACATTCTCAACTTCTGCAATTTTCCAGATGGCCTTAGACTAAAGATCAAACTAGGAACATTTACTGCACAGGTTCCACGTAGCCAGCAGCTCTCTTTATCTGATGACATCATTGAATGGGTTACAGGAATTACAGAGGTATGTTGGGCACAATCATAATATTCCACTATTAACCAATAATAACCAAAATATCATTATAGGCTGTATGTCTCCAGTTTGGTGGCATGATATGGTCCAATGACAAATAAATTGTGCAATTTTTAATTTTAAAAATTGTTAGACCCAGTCCTAGCCCAGGACGGGTGAGTGTGTGGGAGAGCTTCCTGCTACCCTGTGCCAGAGGGACCTACTACTGCTCCCAGCCCAGGTGCAGCATGGGTGAGACCCTCTTCCACCGACTTGGGATGCCTCCCACCACTCTGCAGTACCTCCACCCCCCCGCCCACCGAGTAGGAATTTCTGCTGCATTCCAGGAACCCCCAGACCCAGTCCTAGCCCCGGTCCGGTGAGTGTGGGGGAGACCTTCCAGCTACCCTGCACCGGTGGGACCTACTATTGGTCCCAGCCCAGGTGCAGAGTAGGTGAGACCCTCTTCCACCCCCTTGGGATGGCCCCCACCACTCCGCAGCACCTCCCCCACCATGTCCACAGAATAGGAATTTCTACTGCTTTACGGGAACCCCCAGATCCAGTCCTAGTCCAGGCCCAATGAGTGTGTGGGATTATTGCCTTTCCCCGCTATGCCACCTTGTACCCTACAGGTTCAGATCGGGTCTGGCATACAGGCCTGGGGTGAAATACTGCACTTGCAATCCCTGCAGAGAGTGTAGAGGATAAAACCACCCAGCTAGTCGAGGAGAAGAAAATGTTGCCAGAGGGGCACAACAGGTTCATCCCCAAGGGCAGCAGCAGGAAGCAGCAGAGCAGAGCAGCCAGACCCAAGCCAGGCAGAGCTGGATAAATCCAAACTTTGTATATCTGCACCTGAACTTCACTACATGCTAAGGTTATAACTGCAAAAAAGATCTACACCAAAGGTCAGAAGACAGTGCTACACAAAATGAAGAGAAGGAACAAAATGCAACCTCAGAAAACAAGCCCACCCATAACAAGTGCAGATGACACGAACACAGAACAAATTGGGAATCACATGGCTGAAAGCAATAAATCAAAGGCTTCTGAAATAAAGAAGGAGCTGCAGAAAGGTATAGAGGAACTCAGATTGCAAATAAAAAAGAAATCCCTGGATTAATGACATCGGCAGAAAAGAATCAAATGCAAAAATATACGGAGGAAACCAAATGCCCACCCAGAACAAGCGCAGAGGACACTAGCTAGGATCAAATGCATGAATTAATAGCGTCGATAGTAAATAAGCAACAGCAGAAAGATATAGAGGAACTCAGAGCACAACTCTTTTCTAAAATAAACAAAAGAATTCTCAGAAAACATAGCATCTGAAGTAAAGAAGCAACTACAGAAACATAGGGAGGAAACCCAACGTGAAAAAAACACTGCAGTAAAAGAATTTATAACTGCTTCTAAAGAAGACATTGATAAAAAATAGAGGAGATTTAAAAAATGACAGATTGCTTGAATGAGCAATACAGGAAAGAAATAGATCACATGAAGCAGAGTCAAAGAGATATAGAGGAAATTAAAATCTCTATCACAAGCTTCCAAAACCGTTTAAGTGAAAGTGAAGACAGAGTTTCAGACATTGAAGCTGCTGGTGCGGCTAGTGAAAAGGTAAGAAAGGATCTCTTAAAAACAACGAGGATGCAGGAAAAAATAATCCATCACCTGCAAGACAATGCAAAGATGAACAATGTGAGACTAATACACATCAGTGAGAAAGTAGGAGTCAATACGAATGATATATTAAAAAATGGGTAGAAGTAATAGTAGAAAACATCCCAAATATGAGGAAACAATCTAACACTCAGGTAACCGAAGCATACAGAACGCCAAGTAACCTCAACCCAATGGAAAACACACCGAGACATATTATAGTCAACTTTCCAGAAATTGAGTACAAGAATAATATACTGAAAGCCGCTAGAGAAAAGAAGCAGATCACATTCAAAGGAAACCCATCAGAATTACGGCCGACTTCTCTTCACAAACCATGAACGCAAGAAGAGCATGAAGTAGAGTACATCGAGTCCTCTATGAAAACAAATACCACCGGGACTACTACACACTGCAAAACTCTCTTTCAAGTTTGATGGAGAAGTGAAATACTTTCATGAAAAAGAACAGCTAAAGAATTCCGCGATTAGCTGCAACTCTTGTTACACAGGTCCTGCTTTACCTTGGTCTTAACCATCCAGTAGAAAAGTATGAAGATGAAATATAGGAAGTAAAGTCATGCTGTTATGTTGAGCTGTGGGGGACTCAGGTCAATAATTTCTGACATTGCCAGTTAAACAGAAGACCTAATGCTATTATGGGCTACTGGACT